GTAGGGATCAATCCTGCATTGACAGAGGGATGGATTGAATATTCTAATATGTGTTTTTTGTCACCAGCTTCTGTGACTGTGATTCTATATTACTCCTTTTTAAAAGAAAAACAAAAATAAACCTAATTATACACTCCATATCTGTGAGACGACAGTTGTTTTTCAATCACTGCTCGAACTATTAATTGTTTATTAGTGATAGACATCAAATTTAAAATGATTCTCCATTTCTACTTGTGCCACAGAAATTGAGGATAACCAGACACAGAAAAAATCCTGGGGAAAATCAGCAACGGTCTAAACTAATGAATGTAGTTCTCTACATTTCTTCCTGGTTAAATGTCTAATTGTACATCATGCAGAATAAAGAGTCTTCCAAACATTTCTTTCAGGGAACTGGAATTTGTGTGGTGTAGCACTACACTGATAATGAATACAAAACAGCCTATATTATGTTGATGCATGAAAGACAAGGTTGTTTCAACAGAACAATTAAGCCCCTGAATGAAGATTTTTTTTCTTTTGTATGCAGTAGTTTTTGCCTAGCATGACTGTGATACTGCAGCAAATCATAAGTCTTGCAGAGCAATAGTAACTTGTTTTTGAAGACTCAGTCTTGGGTTTTTCATGCCTTTAGAAAGTGCCCATATTTTCCATGGGGTCTATCTTCTCCGTTTTGTATGTAGCTCCTACCAATGTCTAACCCAGGGTAGAACGGAGCTCAAAGACTCCTTTAGATATATAATTTTAAATCAATGAGCTCTTGCTTTGTCCAGGCCAAATTTTACTAGGTGCTGAGCATTAGGACAAAGTCTTCAAAAGTGCTTAACGGGTCCTGCAATCAGGAGGTATGATTGCAGTATGTGTTGATGTACCCAAGCTAGCTTTGATCTAGCTAGATCAAAACTAGCTTAAATAACAATAGCTGTGTGATGTAGTGGCAGCATGGATGGCAACTGTTCAGGTAGGTACCCTAAGTCTTGGGCGGGCATGGCTGGCCTGTGGAGCCACCATACTGCTGCAGCTTCATTGCTATTTTTATATGAGTTAGCTAGATCAAAATGAGCCCAGGTACGTCTGGATATGCTGCAGTCATACCTGCTGATTGCAGTGAGACATATCCTCAGTGGAATTCTCACAATGCCATGACCCCAGGAGTTGGGGCTTTAAGAAAAACACCAAAATTTATAAAACTTATGAAAAAATTGCAAGAACTGGCAACTCTCCATCTGAGTAGTCCCACTGATGTCAATAGGAGTACTTATGTGCATAAAGTTACTCATGTGTGTTTGAAGAATCAGGGCTTAAAATTTATTATCCTCCCCTGGTGTTGGAGACCCTCCGTTCCCCATTCACTTTCATGGGAATTGAGGGCATTTGGCATCTTCCAAGCGGTACTCAGTACCTTGCAGGGGTAGATCACAAATCTTTTTGTTCTTTCATTTAACATATTGATTAACTTCTATGACAAGATCACAGGCTCAAAAAACCCCTTCTATTACAGAAGCGTCAGTTCATTAAGCAATGGTTCTTTGTTGTTATAGCAACTGTCTAGGTAGATGGCCTGATATGAAATTTGAAAGAGCTGTGATTGCAGGGAGAGAAAGAGAGCAGTAATTCAGTTTCTGAGGGTGGGGGGGGGGCTCCCCCATCCACACCTCCCCCCTATCTTTTTTTTTTTTTTTTTGGTTCGTTGGTTGGCTCTGGTTTTACAAGGTGTTGCTTGGATACCAGTGTGTTTTTGTTCACCAAAGCTGTCATCTTAGTCTTGTGCAAAGGAAGCATAATCAGCTAAGTAGCTACATCTTCGAGATGCACTTTCAGAAATAGTTTCTTTTCTCATTATTAATGGTTTAGCTAGACCTCCATAACTCTTCATATCCTTTACATTTAAGCTGTTTAGAAAAATGTTGTGTTTCTGGTGGGAGACTTTCTGCGGAATGGGTGAGTGCTGAATGCTGATTGTCTTGTCTATCTCCTGAGGTTCATGGAGACCTCACACTGATTTTTTTTAACAAGTGTTTTGCAACTCAAGAAATCATTTGTCCCCTCTTTGTCACATGTGTTGCTCTCCCCCAGGCAGCAGGTCACAGGCTGGATAGTTTTTCCCTTGTCTTATGCATTTGAGCACATGCAGATATTGCATTTTACAGCCATGAGGACAAGCACTATAGCAGAAACAATGATACTACTTTGCATTTCTTTAGCCAAAGATTGTGCGGTGTTTTGCAAATGCTCAAAATATGCTTGGCAGCTAGGCACAGGTGCTTTGTTTTGTCATCCGTGAAATGGAGATACTGAGGCAGAGAAGTCAGCAATGAGAGGTTAAGTGATTTGTCCAACAGTCAAACACGAAGTTCATGGCATAGCCAGGAATAGAGCCCAGTGTTCGAGAACAAGAGAACAATAGAACAATCCTGTGTTCGAGGCACAAGATCATCCTTCCATCCCCTCCCTCTGTAATCATTCTTGGAATTTACAAGTGAGCTCGTATTCCATCTTTCTCCTCCTTATTTCACCTCTGCCTCCTTCTCTCCTCAAGTCCCTTTCTCTCTCTCATTCTTTCTCTTAAATGAGAGGTTTCCATTAAGTTCTCGCCTCCATAGCTCCCGCTTCCCCAACAGTGTACTAGAATAGAACCCCCTTCCTGGGATGTCAACAATTTCATGCTGTTCCTGGCCTTGACTCATCCAGCCATGGTCCCTGCCACTGCTTCTGCTCTGAACTGCTCACCTACTGCCACTTCCCCACATGAAGCAGGACTGGAAGTAGGCATCGGGGGAAGAGGGATAAAATGAGAGAGTTGGCCAGGGAAAGGGGTTGGGTCTCAGAAAAAAGGATGTGGTTGCCCTGAGTTGTGACTAACTTCTCCCAATACTCCTGACTTTGCCTTCCTCTCAGAAGCCTTAAGGTCCTCCCTGCTACTCATCACAGGGACCCTTAGAAGACCTTAAAAAAGCGCCTAGTCCTGCAGGTGTGTTACATGTTAATTTTCAAATTTCAGAAAATCACAACGAGTCTCCTAGTCAGTAGTGCAGATTAGAAAGTTTGTCCTGTAATTTGCATGTATATAGTGGCTTTTGTCCACAGATTTTAAGGTACTTCTGCAAATACTGTGTACTTTAAGGAAGTGTTATCATACCTCTGTACAGATGAATAAAGAGAAGCCCAGAGAGATTCAGAGTTATGCATGGCCATGAAGTGGGAACAGCTGGGCATAGAGCCGGTCTACTACACCTGGGGGGATTCTGTGCCACTGCACGTGTGCAAAATTAATGTGCCCCACAGATTTTTTTGCTTCCCTGAAGAAAAATGACTTTCTGACAGGGAAGCAAAGGGAAGCTGCAAGAGCAATCACACACCACTCCCTAGCTGCACAGCTATATCATTCAGGCACCGGGAGCAGCTGACAGAGAGGTAAATCACCGCAGGGCTGGGGGCACCCAGCCAGTGACTCCTACTTTGAGCTGGGATCAGCTGCTAGTCCCACCTGGGCTGGAGGCAGGAGAGGATGGGACTTCCTCTTCCCCTACAAGGAGTGGCTGGGGTTCTGTCAGACCCGCCCCCAGAAACCTCCCCCAGCTGCAGGAAGCTCAGCATCCTCCCCTGCTTCCTGGCCCCATCACTCCTCAGCAGTGAGGGGTGGGGGTCACTGTAGAGGCAGCTGTCCCCCCATCTGCCCAACCCCCATGCATCTGGACCTCCCAAAACCAGATGCCCCCACCAAGCCTCACCCTGTACATCCAGAACCCACCTAACCCTCCATACCCAAACCCCACCCCACTGAACCTCAACCCCTACATCTGGAGCCCCCCCACAACCAGACCCCCTGCCTCCAGCCCCCACTGAGCTCACTGATGGAACCCAGACCATCCCCCACTGAGCTCCCTGTACTCAAGCTCCCATCCTGATGAGCCCACCTCCCTGCACCACCCTGAGCCCCCACATCCAGACCCCCAAGCCACTGACCCCCAACTAACTGCACCCAGACCCCCACTCCACCAAGCCCCACTCCCCCAGCACTCAGACCCCTCTGCTGAGCCACACCCACTTTCACCTGGAAGCTTTTGCAGAGTCCCATTGCCCCTGCACCTGGAACCCCCCCAATGAGCCTCTGTGCATCCAGAGCCCCCCACACCTAGACCCCTCCCCCCACTGAACTGCCTGCACCCAGATTGTCCCAGACAGAATCCTCTCACCCCACACTTGGATTCCCTGACACAGACCCCCTCCACACTTGGATTCTGCCTGGTTGAGCCTGCCTCCCCCATACCTGGTGTGCCTGGTGCAGCGGGGCAAGGCCTCAGGGTGTTTCTGGGGCAGGCACAGGCCTTGTGCTGTGTCAGGGTTGGGTGCAGCCTCACCACTGAGTCCATGTCCCTGGGGTGGGGGATGGATCAGGCTGCAGGGTGATCTCCCACCTTCGTACAGCCAGTGGCCTGTGCTCCTCATTGCCATCTAGAGCCTCTGCATTTATTTATTGACAAATAAAGCTTGCAGAATTTTAAAATGCGTGCAGAATTTTTAATTTTTTGGCGCAGAAGGCCCTCAGGAGTACTCTACATTCAGTTTTTGTGCTGCTTGAATTTTTTCTGATGAAGCTATAGTGATATATAAGCAATGTCCACATTTGGGTTTCGCAATGCTTGAACTGCACCTGTTTCAAATGGATACAGTTAAAATGGTACAAAACCTATGCGTAGACCAGCCCTAAAGACGGAATTCTGCCTTCAGTTACACCAGAGCAAAAATGGAGGCTCTTCCAAAGTCAATGGAGTTAATTTGAATTTACACCTACAACATACACCATTGTAAGTGACAGCTCAGTTTGATTTCAGAAGTCCATGTTCCCAGTCCCTTGATCATACAACCACTGCACTGAGCCTCAATATCTGCATGACAAAGCATACTGCAGCCATCACAGCAGTTATTATGTGTTTTATGCCTGGCCCATCCCATTTTAATACAGTGCTGTATAAATATATATATTTTTTCCCCAGGTAGTGCGTTTATTTCTGTCTTATTCCTAAAAGAAACCATGAGGGCTGCTGATATGTTAGGTAAGTAAGCAGTTGCTAACACAAGCATGTGTGGTTCCATATGCTTAGCAAACTGGAACTCTCAAATTCAAACACCCCCACTTGCCCCAGAAAATGTTTAAAGGCATGTACTTTCAAAATCGGGCCCAAGTCACAATGGGAAGGAAAAACTTTAGGCTGTCAAGCGATTAAAAAAATTAATCGCAATTAATGGCGTGATAAAAAATATTGATCGTAATTAATGCTGTTAATAATAGAATGCCATTTATTTAAATATTTTTGGATGTTTTCTACATTTTCAGATATATTGATTTCAGTTACAACACAAAATACAAAGTGTACAGTGCTCACTTTATTTTTATTACAAATATTTGCCCTGTAAAAAACAAAAGAAATAGTATTTTTCAATTCACCTCATACAAGTACTGTCCTGCAATCTCTTTATCATGAAAGTTACATGAAACTTACAAATGTAGAATTATGTACAAAAAACCCTGCATGCAAAAATAAAACAATGTAAAACTTTAAAGCCTACATGTTCAATCAGTCCTATTTTTTGTTCAGCCAATCACTCAGACAAACAAGTTTGTTTACATTTTCGGAAGATAATGCTGCCTGCTTCTTGTTTAAATGTCACCTGAAAGTTAGAACAGGCGTTTGAATGGCACTGTTGTAGCCGGCGTTGCAAGATATTTACATGCTAGATGCGCTAAAGATTCATATGTCCCTTGATGCTTCAACCACCATTCCAGAGGGCATGCGTCCATGCTGATGACGAGTTCTGCTCAATAAGGATCGAAAGCAGTGCAGACCAGCACATGTTCATTTTCCTCATCTGAGTCAGGTGCCACCAGCAGAAGGTTTATTTTCTTTTTTTGGTGGTTTGGGTTCTGTAGTTTCCACATTGCTCTTTTAAGACTTTTGAAAGCCTGCTCCACACCTCGTCCCTCTCAGATTTTGGAAGGCACTTCAGATTCTTCAACCTTGGGTCGAGTGCTGTAGCTATCTTTAGAAATTTCACATTGGTATTTTCTTTGCATTTTGTCAAATTTGCAGTGAAAGTGTTCTTAAAATGAACAACATGTGCTGGATCATCTTCCGAGACTGCTATAACATGAAATATATGGCAGAATGCGGGTAAAACAGCAGGGGACATACCATTCTCCCCCAAGGAGTTCAGTCACAAATTTAATCAATGCATTCTTTTTTTAACAAGCGACATCAGCATGGAAGCACGCCCTCTGGAATGATGGCCGAAGCATGAAGAGGCATATGAATCTTTAGCGCATCTGGCACATAAATATCTTGCGAGGCCAGCTACAACAGTGCCATGAGAATGCCTGTTCTCACTTTCAGGTGACGTAATTAAGAAGAGGGCAGCATTATCTCCTGTAAATGTAAACAAACTTGTTTCTTTTAGCGAATGGCTGAACAAGAAGTAGGACTGAGTGAACATGTAGGCTCTGAAGTTTTACATTGCTTTTATTTTTGAGTGCAGTTATGTAACAAAAAAACTACATTTGTAAGTTGCACTTTCATGATAAAGAGATTGCACTATAGTACTTGTATGAAGTGAATTGAAAAATACTATTTCTTTTTTTGTCCTTTTTACAGTGCAAACATTTGTAATAAAAATAATATAAAGCGAGAATTGTACACTTTGTATTTTGTGTTGTAATTGAAGTCGATATATTTGAAAAGTTAGAAAAACATCCAAAAATCTTTAATACATTTCAATTGGCAATTAATTTTTTGAGTTAATCGTATAAGTTAACTGCAATTAATCAACAGCCCTAAAAATCTTATTTGCGTATGAAAATTAGACAGTGATCCAAAATCCTCTAGCCTTAGATCTGTAACTTAGGGTTTACATATGGTAGAAATTACTTACTTAAGATCACTCTTTCATTACATATTTTTAACTCTGAGATGGTATTTAGTATTTTATGAACATGATGCAAGTTCAATACAAATGGTTAGGTGATTAGCTGTTCTTTCAAATTAAAGGGTGTTTTTACACTGTAGGTATTACACAAAAAGTAAAGCTTCACTTAAAAAATTAGAAGTATTTACTCCTTTATACTAACTTAATCATTCCTAAAAGTCAGGAGAGATAATCATGTTGTCAAATGTCTTACTGGGGAACATGGTCTTTGTTGTAAAAGCAGTAGGCTTTCTGGCTGCCTCAAAGATTTTAGTTGTGTTTCAAAACTGTCTTGCTCTGCATTCTTCTTTTAAAGCCTTGAAGGAATCAAGCATTTGAACAGAAAGAGGCAAGCAGATTTCAGTTTTTTTCTTTTAAACTGTGCCTTCCCAGATGAATTACCCAAGTGAGCAGTGCCATGGATATTTCTGGGGACATGTTACTCATGTGGCATGTTGAGCAAGATTTAGTCCATAGTGTGATAATTATAGCACAGCTGATGTTGTGCACATTTTTGAGAAAGAGTTTCAGTGGTGTTCCAACAGCCTATAATATTTACTTCGGTTTTGGATCCTAATCTGCCAACTCAGCTGATACACTGAGACTGCATCCCTCAGCTGATCATTGCCTTATACGTTGCTTTCACTAGCATTCAACACTGATTTATTTTATTTCTGTTAGTTTGACTTTGCATGAAGGATTTAACAATGTTGCTGCATTCCACAGGAATGAGCTGTATAATGGGAAATAGGTGATGTTTTTTCAGGCACATAAATTTAGTACAGTTCTGCTTTTCCAAAGAAACCGTGCTGTAGGGGTGCCAGCAATGTCCTGCTGATGTGCTTTGTTTTGTATTCTTAGACCTCATGTTCCATATTGATTTATTGGTTTCCAAGAATGTTTAATGATTACTTAAAAAACAACTACATTGAATTAGGCAAGATATTAGCTAATCAATGGAACTTCTGAGCTCAGTAATCAGCCCAGTTACATCTAGATATCCCCAGGAGCATCTGTGTTTGTCAGCTGGCTATCCACAGGGCAGAAGTTCCAGACTTTTATTAAAAACACAATAATACAAGTTTGACCTTGAAAAGGGGTCCCCACAACCAGATAGCTGAGTAGCCTCTTGCAAATCAACTCTGCCCTTTTATGAAACAGTTCGTAGATCTACAAGGATGGTAGGGAGTGGCAAAAGTGCTGGCTTCATGTTAGCTTCACACTTAGCTCTGAAGTTGTCACACATCTGTTGCTCTTAGAGATTCCAGGCCAGATCCTTAGCAGTGTAAATCTGTGTAGCTACTTTGACTTCCGAGGAGCTACACTGATTTACACGAGCTGAGAATATGCCCCTGCCTCAATAAACAGCATGTCCTTTTAGTTGAGAGTAATTTGGGACATGACTATCAGAAATAAGAGACCTGATTCTCCTTTGTCCTGCATTTGGTGTTAAAGCCAAGCATCTTCTTAAATGCTTTGCTGAACCAGGGTCCTATTTCAGAAAAGTATGAAATTATGCTGATAATGTCTCTTTACAGTTCTGAAGGAGTTCCCCAGAATTCTTCTGGATTTATTTAAAAACCATACTAGATAAGACTTCAGATGCAGGCAACATGACTAACTAATTGTATATCTGATTAAATGGACTTAACTTTATGCCAGAAACTACTTTCAAAGGGGCTTGAAGGGTAAATTGGACAATAATATACTTTGTAAAAGTAATGTGTGTTTTATTTAAAGGTGGAACCCTGACAATTGCAGGAACATATTTGTTGGTGACATTCGCTCCAAATGTAACCCAGGAGCTCACGGCAACTAAAATACAGAATTATTTAATTAGCTGGCAGTTTCTGATCTATGTGGTGAGTTTCTTGTTTATAATTCTCTGTAAGTCAAAATATCTTGATTTTTGCATCACAAGTCACAATGTCAAACAGCTGCTCCTGAAACAAATTGTTCCCAGTACCATGGCCATAGCCATGTGCTGCAGATGAGCTCCTCAAGTGCTTTCCTCCTCTCCGTCCCTTGGGTCCAACAGATCCTGACATTTGTAGAACTTCAGAAGAGCAGAGGGTAGATTGAGAAAAGGGTGGGAATTTGCAAGAAGAGGAGAATTTAAATATTAGTGGCTTGGGAGGGAGTAAATATTGGCACTGGTTGTACGTGATTTGAACGTATTTATTCCACATTTTCTGTACCTGCATCTAAGTGTATTTATTTATTTACAACTTGAAATGATAGTGGTCTTGAAGATGGGGCCCTATTTCTTCTTTGATTAGATGGCTCAGTTGTGCTCCCTGTGTTGCCCAGCCAAGTCAAATGGCTCCTTATTCCACTGATTGGCTGAGTGAACGATTCTGCACTGTTGCTATTAGCTGTTAATCAACATCTGAATTTGAATTCAAATACCAAAATACCACTTTGATTAGCTCTCCTATATACAAACCTTCAAAATCCATCCTTGCTCTTTGATGCACTCTAATTAGCTTCAGGAACAAGACCAGAGTGAGTGGGAAGACTATGTCTGTCTCTCAAAAATGCAGAAAAATATCTGCTTCATCTGGATGTAGAAGTTGCAATATGCTCTAAATGCCAGAGGTGTTTTATTCTCCCCTCCTGACCGAGGTTATTAATGTCTTGTCATTTTAAAAAAATGACATTTTCAAATAGGTGAAGATTTCACAGTGCTCAGTTAAGACGTTACAGACTAGATAGCTTCGCCCTGAGTCCTCACGGCTCCAGCCAGTTTACCAGCTCACAAAGCACCTATTCTGTAGATGAGACTGTTGATAAAGCAGTCAGTACAAGACAGTACTAAACAGCATTTCTTTCTTCCATTGACTGTGCATTTTCAAAGCTCATGAAAGATGGTGATACAGCTCAGTAGAAGAGACAAATGGGGTTTCTCTCCATAAATCAAAATATGCATTTTTAGTCATGCAACAGAGGTGATTTCAAGGTGCTGCATGGAGACTGAGCCATACAACTTGGCATCGGTGTCAGTGGGCATTGGGTAGCTCTGTTCTGTGCACAACATAGAAACTCTGCCGTTCAATATTTTTAAAAGGCCCGGCTTTTTAAGAAATGCTTTTAAATAGCTGCCTTGCATTCTTAAAAAGCTTCATGTAAAGATGTTAGAGAAATAAAGTACCCAGTACACCCCCATTGACAGCACAGGTTTTAATGAGCAGCTTGCTTTGCTAAAATGCCAAATGATATTTCAGTGTCAATGAACGAACACTTTTGCAAAATCAATGGCTTGTCTGGAATAGGGCCATCTCCCACTTCGGGAGATTAAGGCCTTGCTGGACATGTGCCTGGCTCTTCCCAGGAGAAATTGTAAAGGAAATTCTTACCCCTTCTTTTAAAGATTACTTGTTTTAAAAAAAGGGAAAAAAGCACCACATTGATTAGCTAATATCTTACCTAATCCCAATGCAGTGTCTGTGCTCAGTAATCAGCTCACTTATATCGAGTTACCCCCATCAGCATCCTTGGGGGCTCATCATCTGACAATTTACCCTCCAAACCTTGTCTCCTTTCACTTGCCCCTTTGCCTCCTTCATTGTGTCCAAGCCCCATGTCTACCTAGACCCCCCCTTATTTCCTTCTCCCACTTTTGCCTCGCTGCATTCTTTCCAAATCACATGTCCCCCGATGCCTGAAGCCCCCTCCATGACCTGTTCAACCATGACCCCATTAAACTCTCTCCTCAAAACTCACCTCTTCCACAAGACCTATTATCTCATCTTCTTCCTTGCTCCCAAATACCACTCCCCACCTGGAGCCAGGCAGCCTTGTCAATTTCATGGCATGGTGAGCCAGGAAAGGAAAGGCAAGGCAAGGCAAGGCTGCTGGGCTCCTGGCAAGGAGTGGAACTGGGAGCCAGGTCAGAGGCTGCCCCCGCCTCTCCGTCTGGCTCCCAGCTGGGAGTGGGGGGAAGCCCCCCCCCGGGCTTTTCATCCTGGCTTCCAGACAGGAGCAGGGTCAAGCCCAGCTCTCCAGAGAAATGGGTGCTTTCTTGTCAATTTCACGGCTCCTGCCATGAAATTGACAAGAGAGACGACCTAAGTAAGGCAGTATCTACACAGACACTGTCTCTACATCAACATAGTAAGCCTTATGCCTCTCATGGAGATGGAGTTATTATGTTGGTGTAGTAGGGCACTTAGGGCTTGTTGATGGGCAGCGTATCTGTGGGCTGTGATCGATCCAGCGGGGGTCGATTTATCGCATCTATGACGCAATAAATTGACCTCTGAGCACTCTCCCATCAACTCTGGTACTCCACCAGAACGAGAAGCTCCGGCGGAGTCAACAGAAGAGCGTCAGCTGTCGACTTACTGCAGTGAAAACACCACAGTAAGTAGATCTAAGTAGGTTGACTTCAGCTACACTATTCATGTAGCTGAAGTTGTGTATCTTAGATCGACCCCGCGCAGTAGTGTAGACAAGCCCTTACAATGGTGGGAGGAAGGCTGTAGTGTGTACACTGGCATAATTAGGTCAACATAAGCTCGCTTTCTAGTGTAGACCAGCTCTAAGAGTTTCAAGATTTGGATACTGTGGTGTTGGGTTCTCACTGTACTGTCTGTCCTCCCCAGAGTCTGTCACTATCCCAGCACACTCTCTGCTCTCTCTCTGTCCAAGTCCTTAGAGATGGTAGGGCATCCTGTGTATGAGGGAATGGGGTATTTGGAGCATCCTCAGGCTGCTACTTGTATCCCAGTGTGGGGTGAGGATATCAGGGCTGCCAGCTTCCTGGTGCAGGGTTCTATGCTGAGCTGGCTGGCTGCAGCGCTGTTCCCCACTGCATGCTGCCTCCTGCTCTGTTCGGCTTTCTGGCATCCTGCATAATAGCAGCTGAGTGGAAAAAAGCGGCCAGCAGAGCATGCTGTGACAGAGCTGCAGCCAGCTGGGTGGGGTGCTCTGTCAGAGTTAGAGGTGGGGGCATCAGTGGAAGGCAAAAGGTTTGGAGGGAGAGGTGGTCCCTCTGAGTGCCCAGCTTCCGCAGTGCTTGTGCCTGTGTGTTTCTGTGACTCTTCAGTGTGTGTGGAATTCCCACTGACTCACATGGCAGTTCCACACACACAGCCCCTGCAGGATCAGGCCTGGAAGACACACGAGGGCACTTGTTTCTCAGACGATCAGTCTGATGCTTCGAGGAGAGAGAGGTAGCCATGCATATCATGTTAGACCTCCGAAGTACAGGCAGATAGTCATCAGCAGGCCATGCCTTCCTGTGGCTCAGATCCCAAGCACTCCGTGCAGCTGAGGAGGCAGGGTGTAAAGATGGCTTTAAGTCACCTTAATGTTCCTCCAGCCTTGGAACTATCTGGGCCCCTAAGGCAGTTGTCCCCAAACATTTTTAACACCCCCTTTCTTATTCCTAATATAATCTGACCACCCCCACCTCCAGGAGCCATGGTCGGGGGCTGGGGCCAGAGCCATGGCTGGGGTCAGGAGCCTGGGGCCATGGCCAAGAGCTGGGCCGCGGTCGGGCTGGAAGCCAGGGGCTGAGTCCAGGGCTGGGACAGAGAGAGGCTGGGGGCAGAGCAGGGCTGGGTGCCACTCTGTCCCCACCTCCCATGGGGCCTGGTATGGACCCCGCTGCGACCCACTGAATGTTGCTCCACACTCCCCTAGGGGGGCTCTTCCCACAGTTTGGGGACCACTGCCCTAAGGGCCTCTTCCAGCCACCAGGCATTACTGGGGATAAAAGAGCCCTGGCCACAGCCCCTGCACCAGCAGCAGTGGAGGGAATGGAGAAGGAGCCACTATAGCAGCTGCTAGGCCACCTGACTACTCCCCTGTGGTGGTACTCCCATAGCTGGTTAAGCCAGCTTGAGGCCAGCTTTGGGAGTGCCACAGAAACTGTCCTAATGCAAGCCAGAATCTAGGCCTGCATTTCAACCTGTGAATCTGAACTCAGCTAAACTGACAGTAGAATAATTACTTGTTTATAGATGGGCACCTGGCTGCCTGCCTCATTCTGTTACTCCCAAGATCACTCGTTGCCTGATTTTTCAGTACAGAAAGAAGGTTGAATGTTGACAGGTGACTAAAAATTCTGTTGCTGATAATAGCGAGGCTGTTTTCTGCAGCTGGTGATGTTACAGAAGTGTCACGGTACTGGCAAGGGAACAAGTGTTACTGTGGGAACCTGTAAGAGCTAGCATTAATAGTGAAGCAAGTAAATTTAACTGTCAGTGTGGAAGATGGTGGTGACATGGATGGAGTGAGTCTGGACTGTGTACAGTAAAAAGTGTGTCAGCATTACAGATGACCTGCACGGCAGTCTCTGGTGGTGTGTCATTGAGCTTTGCCAGGGTACCTTCTGTCATGTACTCTGACAAGTAGGTGGGTAGCCAGTGATTGAAGATCATTGCATAGCAATAATCTGAATGAAATACATTTCCCCATGATTGCTTGGCAGGAAATTTGGAGATGAAGATAGTGCTAGCTAAGGTTTTTTTGACTGAGGCAGACAAAAAGGGCAAAGAGGAAAGAAACTAATGCAGTAAGATACTATGGTGATGGTCACTGTAGAAAAATTGAGTAGATAGTGTGGATAAGTAGATAGTAGATAATGTTCTGCTTCAGGCTAGCTCTCTACTCCTTAGCTCTGGGGGTTATATATTCAGGGGTGCCTATATTGATTATCCCTAGCTCACGTGGGTACCTTTGCTGTCAAAGAAAAACAATCTTTGTTTTAATCTTCTCAGTGCTGTGAAATCAAACAGGCTCATCAAGAGCAAAAGAAAAGCAAAGAAACGAGGAAGTTAACTAGAAAATATCTTAGGAGCAGGAAAGATTTATGAGAACAATTATTTGTTAACTCAATTGACTGGAGATAAGGTTACTTTTTAGTAGAAGATGTGTAATAAAGCAATCCTCCCTTGAACTGTTTGAGCAGGGTAGATCAATGTAACACTTTAAAGACTCTGAATGAAGCATTTATTATATTGTTTACAGCTTAACCTTTCTTGCCCTTTTTTCCAGATCTTAGAAATAATAATATTCTGCATTCTTCTGTATTTCTACAAAAGGAAGGATGTGAAGCACATTGTGGTTTTGTTAACGATGGTAGCACTACTAGGTAAGCACATATTATTCCATTTGTATAATATTCCCCTCTCTCTCTCTCACTTGATCACTCTCTCCCACTTGGTCCCCCGTGTTAGCTTATGTCTGTGCTGTGTTTAAAAGGACAATCTGAAGGGGAATCCTTAGGTTTTTACATGGTTTCAATGAAGTCTCTTTCTAACAAGCAAAGCCAGTTACTCAACAAACTTTATATGCCTATTGCTAGTACTGTTTGGTTTTACAGATTTGCAGTTTGATTCTGTGTGAATCCGACTTTTGCATGGATATTCCAAGGCTTTTGTCTCTCCCATTTGAAGTAACCCTTTATCATTAGATCCCGGAAGAATGAATTACAGAGACTGTTGAAACTCCGTATGTCTAGAACATATTTTGGTGACCAGGGCTAGCTGAGGAAAACAAATCACTAATTTAATTTAAAAACAAAAACAGAAAACCTCTTAACTACACTTCTTGTGTGTGCTTCTTCAGTGTAACTGCCTGGGACCTTCTGCCTGCTTTCCTCTACTCCCACCTATGTATGTCTATTTTTTTTCCAGAACTGAAGCCTTAATAAATGCAACATATTTACTGTACTGTCTTTTTAGATGTATATTAAGACTTCAGTGGACCACTAAACTTAGTTAGAGATTACAATTTGCATTAATCTCTGCCTAGGTATTCCCCAGAAAATCCACTTAACATTTATTGTCCCAAAAATCCATTTTTGTCTTGTACATTTTCAGTGTAGTTCTTTGAATCCCCAGGTCTTACATTTTCCCTGTAGAGTTTACGAACAATCCTGGCCCACAAGAATACATAAATAATTCATTTAATACAATGGACCTCAAAGGTACTTAAATGTAATTCAATCAGGTCTCCCAAGGATGTGGTAGGATGTTGCCAGGTCTGTCACACTATCATGACAAATCTCTTCACCTTTCAGCAATCCAGCCCTCATCTGGAGGGTCAGAACTAACAATTTATACTTTAACATTTTATTTTCAAATATAACTCCAAAGTTCTACTCTGTAACTGACTGAAATTTTTAACCCCCCACATCACCATGATGGTTTGTTGTTGTTGTTTTTTTTGTATCATGCTCATTATGGATATGATAACCATCAGAATCTGATAGCCTTTGCTCACCTTGAGTACTACCTTGAACAATCCCATTGATTTCAATAGGACTGTTCGAGAAGTAAGGTACTACTCAAGGGGAGCAGAGAGAATCCTTGAATTTTTCCCTACTGGTGAAATTCAAATAGGCCACCACAAGGCCTATGCACCACTTAAACCCCATGTGAACTGCCAGAGGTGCTCTAAGCAAAATACTTGAACCAGAACCCCAGATCTGAATCCCTTCCCCCGCCCTCTTGTCCGGAGTGTTGGGAAGTTCTGAACTGTGTGTCGGTATGAATTTTGCATCTGGGGGCTATCTCTATAATCGGGCAAATTGGAACTTTGGAACTGAACCTCTTGGAGAACCTGGAATTAGATCCAGGTGGTGAGGCCTTGTCCCCTGCTATTAATTACTTTCCTTTAGTGTGACGAGTGCACTGTTACTCCTCTCATCTTGCCATCCCATGTGTTTTGAATTTGTTCTATTTTCTGTGTGGTTATTGTAACCTCCACAACTGAGCTTCAGCAGCAAGGGCTGGGGCAAATCAAGAGTCCATGCCAGAGGAAAAGCAGGAGAGCCTTTTAGTGTAGCCGTCTGCACCTTTACTAGCGCAGGTGATGGGGAAGCCTGATTCTGCTCTTCGAACTGGTAGTATGTCATGCTGCAGTGCTTCTCCTCCTAGGCTGGCATGAAGATTGCTGCTCAGTTTCCTGTAAAGCAAGCCTTGTTTGTGATTATGTGCATTGGTTTTTGTTGGTTTAAAAGAAAATCAGAAGAAGGGTTAAAAACATAACTAACCTTTTAAATAGCCTGCTGATCAATACGTCTTTCTGCAGCACTGACATGCTGGGGTAAAGGCTTATAATTCTACCTTGTTTAATCTCTCTCTCTCTCTCTCTTCCAGCATCACTGACTATTATTTCAGTAAAGGCTGTGGCCGGCATGATAACATTCTCTGCAAAGGGCAAAATGCAGCTAACATACCCCATTTTCTATATCATGTCGATTATAATGGTGACATCTTGTGTTTTCCAAGTCAAGTAAGTTAGTTTTTGCTAACCTTTCTCTCCATTTATCTGCTGGTTTTGTTAATTACTGGTGCGTATTGACTCCTGGTGTGAATAACAGTTAAACACACCTATTGCCTTCACTGATTTTTTTTTAATGTATTTATTTATTTATCCATACTTTATTGCTCATTGGATGATTTCACTTGGATTTGTTATACTGGTGCCTTCTTCTCTTATTTACAAACAATTCAGGTTAGTTCAAAATGCAATTTTATTTTTCCCACAGTTCTTAAACCCAACTGTGAAGTGAAACTTTCTATTTTCCTGATGTTTTCTTTCTCTTACTTTGTCATGCAGCTTTTAGACCCATTGCTGGTAACCAATTAATCAAATAGCCAATGCGATTTCAGTAACTTGGTCCTAAATTTAGAAAGGGAATTCTTTTTCCCTCTTAGCCCTGGTCTACACTACAAAATTACTTTGGTGTAGCTACGTCGCTCAGGGGTGTGAATAATCCACACCCCTGAATGACATAGTTATACCAACCTAAGACCAGTGTAGACAGTGCTATTGAACCCACACACCCTCTGCGTCCCGTCTAGTGGCACTGAGATCACTTAGAGATAAAATGAGTCTGCTCTATAGCCTTAGCTAAGAGCCAGCTTTTAGCTTATGCAGGAGTGGCTCATGCATTAAGCTCCAGAGGCCCCAGGTTCAATCCCACCTGCTGACGAATGGAGTCTGTCAGTGTTACACTATGTCAGTGACAGAGCTTCTCGCGGAGGTGGATTAACTGAACCAACAGGAGAACCTCTCTCCCTGCGGCTAAGAGTGTCTTCATTAAAGCGCTACGGCTGCATCGATGCAGCATTTTAAGTGTAGATCTGCCCTTAGATTTATGTTCACCTTTTGTCCGAAGGTGGAAGCAATAGATTATCCTCCCATCCCCTTTGGCTAAATCTGCATACTGTGTTTTGCCAGTGAGAAATTTGTGCCTGAAGTGCAAGCTAGGTATGGCTGAGCCTCTCTAGGAAATAGTTAACTGTTGGAGAGAACTCTGCAAAATCAGGATTTTTCCTGCTGGGCTCTGGCCTGCTAAGTGATCATTTTATTGCTGACACTGGAGACTGCTGCTGCCATCAAAATAGAACTTCCAGCGGAATGGAGAGTCCATTCTCTTTATCCTTGTCCCTATGCTTCTGGCGCGGATTGCACCATTCAATGCACTTGTACAGGCTGCTCCAGATTAATTCGGAATGTTTGTTTTCATTTGTTTTTAATGAAATAGCCAGCCTAGCACTTTAGTGGTAGTGCATATCACTGGCATAGGGGAGTCAGGATTCCCTTTGGAGAAAGCCCATGCATCATTCTGCAGTGACTCTGGAACTCCCTGTCACAGACTGTAGAGTCGTTTACACCCAGCGCTTTGCTGGAAGAAGGGCTCAGGGCATTTAAGAGAGGAAATAGAGCTTGGTAAATGGGAAGCTGCTGAATGATTCTCTTCTCCTTCGGCAGATTTTTTTTTTTCTTCCTTCATTTGGTCAAAACGCAAACAAAGGCAAAATGTGGCCACTTTGCTTCCTGGGCCCAGTATCTGTCTTCTCCCAGTCCAACTGAGCAGACTTTTCAAAAGCAGACAATGCTGTTACTCCTGGCTTTTTCCCCCCATTTTACCTAGATCTCTCACCAAGTTTGTTTATTTGACAGATTCTTGAGAACTCAGAACAGCTTTTCTTACATCTTTTGGGGACTTGCTGCTAAGCATCAGCATCTATGTTTCGGTCCCTGAGACTGAGATTGTTGCAAATGGGAGAAAATAATGAGGTGTTTTCAGTGACTTCAAAATCCTGACTATCCTCTGGATATGTAGGGTTTCTTTATTTTTAAAGCACCATGGAGACTGCTCAACAGTCACTAAAATAACCTTGCAATTACTTTAATGGCTAAAACAGATCAGAGTTTGGATTTTTACTATTCACATATATCGTACCAATGAAACGTTTAAGCATAGTTCTTTTTATAGGTTTCTAAAACACTCTGCCGTCTCTTAATATTTCTTTCTGTTTCATATGCATTGTTGGCAGGATACAGTATGTGGGGGGTGCAGTGACACTGAATTTACAAAGATACATTCCAGTGTTCACAGGCATGATTCATATAATCCTAAGGGTAGATATGGATGTGGCAGGTTTTAATACTTCTGCATGAGACCTTCATTCTCCTTCAACATGATTAATTGCTTTGTTTTTGTTACTGGATTAAATAGACCATGACGGTTGGTGTAAGAACACATACGTCCAAGCGTTGTCCTACACGTCCTTGTATAGTGCACAACCCTGTTGCACTCCAGCTGAGGCTACGGGTGAGGTTCTGTGTTGTGCTTCTGAGAGGTGCTGCACTGAACATGTAGCCTGAAGGGAGGAGGGGCTAAGGTGACTGAAAATCACCTTTTTATGTCTTCCCAACCCTGGGCTGCTCTGGGAGCCAACTTGGCCCCTAGTGTAAATGAGATGATTGTCTGTGGCTAGTAAACTACAGCAACCTGTCCCCAGCTGCCTGTGGGGAGCAGTGCTGCCCAAAATCTCCATGGTGGTATGTACTGTGGGCCTATCCTGATGCCTGCCATGACCCCTGCATCAATGCTTGGGTGGGGGCTAGGGTGACCAGGTGTCCGGTTTCAACCAGAACACCCGGTCAAAAAGGGACCTTGACGGCTTCGATCAGCACCACCGACCGGGCCATTAAAAGTCTGGTCGGAAGTGCTGCGGAGCTAAGGCAGGCTGCTCCCTACCTGTCCTGGCTCCACGCTGCACCCTGGAAGGGGCCAGCAGGTCCGGCTCCTAGGTGGGGGGAGGGGCACAGGACTCCATGTGCTGCCCCCACCCCACACGCCGGCTCCCTACTCCCATTGGCTGGGAATTGCAGCCAATGGGAGCTGCGGGGGTGGTGCCTGTGGGCGAGAGCAGCATGCAGAGCCTCGTACTGCTGATCGCTTCCAGGGCTCAGCACGGAGTCAGGTCAGGCAGGAAGCCTGCCTTAGCCCCTCTGCTGCACTGCTGACTGAGAACTGCCGGAGGTAAGCTGGCGCCCCAACCCCCTGCCCCAGCCCTGAGCCCCCCAAACCTGGACCCCCCTCCTGGACCCCAAACCCCTCATCCCCGGCCCCACCCCAGAGCCCCCAGCCGGAACCCTCACCCCCCCCACACCTCAACCGCCAGCCTGGAGCCCCCTCCTGCACCCTGTACCCCTCATTTCTGGCCCCACCCCAGAGCGCGCACCCCCAGTTAAAGCCCTCACCCCCTCTCACACCCCAGCCCAGTGAAAGTGAGTGAAGGTGGCAGACAGTGAGCCACCGAGGGAGGGGGAATGTAGTGAGTGGGGGTCAGGGCCTTGGGGAAGGGGCAGGACTAAGATGTTCAGTTTTGTGCAATTAGAAAGTTGGCAATCCTAGTGGGGGCCCTCAGCAGATAGCCCATGGCTGTTTACCTCTGACATAGGGAAGGAGGTATTCTTCCCTGTCCAAATCTGTGGCTTTTTAAGCCTCTTTTATTCAGAGTACAGGAGCTGGAACTGGGGTGAAAGTCTTGCATGATGTGTGGGCACAAGTCAAGTTAAATGTTAAGGTTAAATACCGTAAAATGGTAGAGTTGGGTGCTTTACTGGAGGTGGCATCGTTTGTTCTTAACATGCTGGCAGGTTCGGTGAGCTCCTTTCTCCTGCTCTGACTCTGACTTTTGTCTTGGGGGATAGCACGCGCTTGTAGACTTTGACACTCTGCCAACTATTTCCCAGCTGTGATTGCACATGCTTCTCCTGCCACCTATCTTTGAAGGCAGTGAGCTCCAGAAGGGTCCATACAAATGCATGAGGCCTACATGATAGCTCTTTTGAATTTTCTCCAAGAAGTTGTGTGTCTCTGAGAAATGGTAGTTGCTTGCTATTAAAGTGGCTTGTAAATGGGGCCCATGTGGATTTGCAAGAGCTGTTTAAACAGAGGAGTGGTTTCCAGGCATACTGACCCCCACACAGAGGTCAATTCTGCAGTGACTGGTGCAGTGTGGGATAGTAATGGGAGGACTGTTCACTTATATAAGAAGTGGGATGCATCCACTGGAGCTAAATTGATTTAACTGCCACCAAAATAGAGTTGTGGCATTTGCAAACTGGCTTCATTAAATAAATGCAAATCCAGTAACCTTGCAATGTGAGATGTGTGTGGACACATGCCAGTTCCCACCAAAATAAGGAATGTTATACTAACTTCTGTGTGGAGACCAGGCCTTATTCCTCTGCGCTAAGCGGAGTAAAGGCTCAAATCTCCTGCTTGCTTCCCTGCTCATAAACATAATCTGTCTCCCACAGTATTCTTGCCAGCAGGTTAAAAAAAGTATGGATTGGATGAATGGACTATAAAGTGGATAGAAAGCTGGCCAGATTGTCGGACTCAACAGGTAGTGATCAACGGTTCAATGTCTAGTTGGCAGCTGGTATCAAGCAGAGTACCCCAGGGGTTGGTCCTGGGGCCGGTTTTGTTCCACATCTTCATTAATGATCTGGATGATGTTCGCAGATGGGGGGAGAGGTAGATATGCTGGAGGGTAGGCATAGGGTCCAGAGTGACCTAGACAAATTGGAGGATTGGGCCAAAAGAAATCTGATGAGGTTCAACAAGGACAAGCACAGAGTCCTGCACTTAGGACGGAAGAATCCAATGCACCGCTACAGGCTGGGGACTGACAGGCTAAGCAGCAGTTCCACAGAAAAGGACGTGGGGATTACAGTGGATGAGAAGCTGGATACGAGTCAACAGCGTGCCCTTGTTGCCAAGAAGGCTAACAGCATATTGGACTGCGTTAGTAGGAGCATTGCCAGCAGATCGAGGGAAGTGATTATTCCCCTCTATTCGACACTGGTGAGGCCACATCTGGAGTATTGCATCCAGTTTTGGGCCCCCCACTACAGAAAGGATGTGGACAAATTGGAGAGAGTCCAGCGGAGGGCAATTAAAATGATCAGGGTGCTGGGGCACATGACTTACGAGGAGAGGCTGAGGGAACTGGGATTGTTAAGTCTGCAGAAGAGAAGAATGAGGGGGGATTTGATAGCTGCTTTCAACTACCTGAAGGGGGGTTCCAAAGAGGATGGAGCTAGGCTGTTCTCAGTGGTGGCAGATGACAGAACAAGAAGCAATGATCTCAAGTTGCAGTGAGAGAGGTCTAGGTTGGATATTAGGGAACACTATTTCACTAGGAGGGTCGTGAAGCACTCGAATGGGTTACCTAGGGAGGTGGTAGAATCTCCATCCTTAGAGGTTTTAAAGGCCTGGCTTGACAAAGCCCTGGCTGGGATGATTTAGTCGGTGTTGGTCCTGCTTTGAGCAGGGGGTTGGACTAGATGACCTCCTAAGGTCTCTTCCAACCCTAGTCTTCTATAATTCTGTTGTTCTATGCCGGTATAAGGGCCCAATGCAAAGCTCAGTGAGTAGAAAGATTCCTGTTGACTTTGGTGGGCTTTGGATCAAGCTCTTGAAAAGGGGAAGAGCGTGGGTGTCTGAAGAGATGAAAACTTAAGCCTCATCATGCTAATCAGCATTTAGCTATGTGTCCCCAAGCCAGGTCTTACTCCTAATAGGCAGGAATAATTTGGCAGTCATGCAACGTTACTCTCATTGATTCAGAGTTGGATGTTCTGTGCTCATCATCTTTTATCTTGCACTATTCATTTGTACTATGCTTGTTCAAATCCGGTATGCATATCTGCTGCAGACGCCAACTTGTACTGTGCTGTTAGTTGTTTTGATGTGAAAGTATTACACCTATTACTACACTTAGTGCACAGCACACTTTGTATCCAGGAGATGTAATAACTGTGTTCTTTTAGGTTCTTAAATCAAGCTATGCAACTCTACAATGCAACCATCGTTGTGCCGATTAACTTTGTGTTCTTCACAGCCAGCGCCATCATTGCAGGTTTGTTTTTACTTTCTGTCCAAACAAAAGCTCTTTCTAAATAGCAAGATTGAATTCTCTTCTTTGAATCAGGAATGCAAACAAATCACTTTTATCTTCAGGGAGAGATCTTTATGTAATATGACAGATGTATATTTTGAAAATATTTTTATTTTGAAAATCATAAGTTCAGAACTTTGAAATAAAATTAAATGTCATCAGATTCTAGCTTTTCCAATATAGTACAGCCATGTACAGTTTATTCTGCTTTACTGGCTTATTAGGTACTGTCATTAGTATTAGCCTCCTCTGGAAGTACCATAAATGTGCTTACCATGTGTACATTGGCGTCTCCATATCCTAGCTGGTAAAGTAATTTTAATAGTGTGGCAAGCTACTCAAATGACAGACAGCTGTGTTTTGTAGTAGTTTGTGTACTATATTTCAGAAGGCTGAATTTGAGGTTAAGTGAAGGAAATAAAATACTCCAAAGGCCTTTAAACCTTATAACATTTTATTCTGGGTGAGAACTTTGAACTTGATCTCATTAAAAAGAGACTGAAAATCTTGGAAATCGTCTGCACTGAAAGAACAAGAGAGGAGAGAAAGATGAAGACATTTAAACTGAAAACAAATTCTGCAGCAGTGAGTCTCCGAGCCTGGGTCAATTGATTCAGGCTTGTTAGGCTAAAAATAGCAGTGTGGACATTCAGGCTTGAGCTGGAACCCAGGCTTTGAAACCTGGCAAAGGGGAGGTCCCCAGCCTGATTAGGAATGTCTTTACGACTATTTTAAGCCCCACGGCACGAGCCCAAATCTGTTGACTCGGGCTCTAAGACTCACTGCCACGGGTTTTTTAAATTTTTAGGGCTGTCAATCAATCACAGTTAACTCAAGCAATTAACGGAAAACAAATTAACTAGATTAAAAAAATTAATTGTGATTAATCTGAGTTTTAATTGCACTGTTAAACAATAATGAAATGCCAATTTACATTTATTATAACTATTTTGGATGCTTTTCTACATTTTCAAATATATTGATTTCCATTACAACACAGAACACAACGTGTACAGTGCTCACTTTATAGTATTATTTTTATTACAAATATTTTCACTGTGAAAAAGATAAAATAAATAGTATTTTTTAAATTCACCTCATACAAGTACTGTAGTGCGATCTCTTTATCATGAAAGTGCACCTTACAAATGTAGATTTTTTTTGGTTATTAATTGCACTCAAAAACAAAGCAATGTGAAACTTTAGAGTCTACATGTCCACTTAGTCTTTCTTCTTGTTCAGCCAATTGCTAAGACAAACAAGTTTGTTTATATTTATAGGAGATAATGCTGCCTGCTTCTTATTTACAATGTCACCTGAAAGTGAGAACAGGTGTTCACATGGCACTTTTGTAGCCAGCAATGCAAGGTATTTACGTGCCAGATGTGCTAAACATTCGTATACCCCTTCATGCTTCAGCCACCATTCCAGAGGACATGCCTCCATGCTGATGACACTCATTTTAAAAAAATAATGTGTTAATTAAATTTGTGACTGAACTCCTTGGGGGAGAATTGTATGTCTCCTACTGATGGTTTTACCCACATTCTGCCTTATTTTCCTGTTATGGCAACCCAGCATATGTTGTTTGATTTAAGAACACTTTCACTTCAGATTTGACAGAACACAAAGAAGGTACCAATATGAGATTTCTAAAGATAGCTACAGCACTCGACCAAGGTTTAAGAATCTGAAGTGGCTTCCAAAATCTGAGAGGGACGAGGTGTGGAACATGCTGTCAGAAGTCTTAAAAGAACAACACTCCAATACGGAAACTAGAGAACCCAAACCACGAAAAAAGAATATCAACCTTCTGCTGGTGGTATCTGATTCAGATGATTTAAATGAATGTGTGTCAGTCCGCACTGCTTTGGATTATTATAGAGCAGAACCCGTCATCAGCATGGAAGCATGTCCTCTGGAATGGAAGCATGAAGGGGCATATGAATGTTTAGCACCTGTTCTCACTTTTCATTGTAAATTAGAAGCAGGCAGCATTCTCTCCCGTAAATACAAACAAACTTGTTTGTCTTAGCGATTGGCTGAACAAGAAGTGAGTGGACTTGTAGGGTCTAAAGTTTGACATGGTTTTATTTTTGAGTGTAGGTATGCAAAAAAAAATTCTACATTTGTAAGTTGCACTTTCATGATAAAGAGATTGACTGCAGAATTTATATGAAGTGAATTGAAAAATACTATTTATTTTGTTTATCTTTTTTACAGTGCAAATATTTGTAATCAATAATCATAATATAAAGTGAGCCCTAATTCTTTTTGTATTTATTTTATTTATTGCAGTGTAGATGTACCTAAAGATGCTATGTCAGCAATAAGCCAAAATTATACAGCTATAATATTTATGACCGATTTTAACGCACACAGGGGCAGTCCTGTCATTGGTCTGCAGGAAATTTAATATTCAGAACTTCCATTAATGCTGAAGGGAGTTCCATGAAGATTGCCTCATCAGCTGTGTTAGAACAGACCTACACCTTGTGACTGAGAGGAGACATTGGCCAAAAGGAGTTGCACTGGAATAACCATGTGGAGCGTTTGGTCTTATGCCTACTTTTTTTAAAGGCCAGATCCTTATTCAGGATCATCTAGATAAGTGGTTCTCAAACCTTTTTTTTTTTTGCGGACCCCTTGAAAATTGCGGAGGGTCTCTTAATGATCTTTCCAAATGTTGTTTGTACCATTAGCTAACTATTGTAAAGCACTTTGGATAAAAGCACTATATAAAAAAAAAAGTAATAATAATTAACTTTTTTTGTTCTACAAATAAAAGCACACAACGCATATTTTAATATCAGTAGTCTTAACTTTCTAATGTGATGGATGTGCCCTCTCTCCCCCACTGTGGCAGCCCTCAAGCTGGGGCTGCAAAGGAGGGTGTGGGGGGGGGGTCTCTCCTTCTCTCTCCTGCTGCCCCACAATATGGAACTGACATAAAGTTAGGTGGGCGACCTTTCATTCTCTCATGTGCAGCCACCTAGGCACGCACCTTAGCGGGAACTATCTGTGGACCACCTGAATGAAGTTGCAGACCACTGGTGGTCGGTGGACCACAGTTTGGGATCCTCTGGTCAATATTCAAATCTGCACCTGTTTAGTTAAACCAGCTGAAATGGTGCAAGCCCCTATGTAGTTTAAGAGGAACTTATTGCAGTTTTAAATGTGTTCCTAATTGACTAAGCTAAACCCAAACAGACCTGATTTAATCTGAAGTAAGAGTGTCCACAGATCTTTTTGTACTTAACTAAATTCATTTAAAACAACACCTTTAGTTAAATTGTTGCAACTCTGCATGTAGACAAGCCCTCAGTCTGAGCCTGACCTGAATAAACTCTGTGTAAGGACCTATATGTAATTCAACAAGGTTTCATTCTTTAAAAATATCTTTTACACTTAAGGATTTTCAGTTGTTGGCAATAAAAAATGTGACTATACTGAATAATTAACAACACAAGCAAGAAGTCCAAACCTGGTAGAGTGAGATCTTATCAAGATATATGCAATTACCATTATCTAAAAAAAGGCATAGATACTGAATATGGGCATATAATATGAACCCACCCAAAATTTGTATTGATGTGTTTGGGATTTTTTTCCACTTGTTCATAACCTAGCTTCTGACCCTGTCATCAGTAATTCACATCACTTGGAATTTGTTCAAGATCTGCAGTTCTTGTTTCTGTCACGTTCTAGGGGTCATATTTTATCAGGAATTCCAAGGTGCAGCTTTGCTGAGTGTGTTCATGTTTCTATTCGGGTAAGTGTATCTACTGAAAATCTGTAACAAAGTTTGTATCAAAACAGCCCTTACCTTTCCGAACAAGTTTTCCTTTTCTCCTGAAGAAAAAACCTATTCCATTGCAATGTGTTAGGGGGCAGCTGTTACAGTAGAATAAAAAACATTGCAAAGGCTAATATTTGTGTTTTGTTGTAAGGGCCTGTTTTTGAATCCAAACCTGTAAAAATATTAATATTAGCCATTTGTGAGACCCTATCTCTCCCACTCCCCCCAGTGGAATGAAAAGCGAACATCATATGTTCCCTTTGTAAATGAGACAAATCATTGGCTGTTTTCCATCAATGATCGCATTATGGAGTAAGTACTGATTAGTGCTAGAAAAGTCCATGTTGTCTTCTACCTGCATGTCCTGCTGTTCTCTGCTGCTACAAGCCTTGGGCAATAGTGTTAGTTAATCACCCAGCAGGCACCGTGCTCACTTTAGCAAAGGCCTGCCTCTCTCCTGTTGTCTTTGGACAGGAAGGGACAATCTGCCTTTTGGTGATTATAGATCATGTCATGCTAAATAAGTGGTAGCAGTAAATGCTTGAAGGACAGCCTACCTGTCATGCAGCCAAGTAAAACAGAAACTGCCACAGATTCCTCAGGAGTTGCCAGTACAGTAAAGGTCCAGGCGATAGGTGAGAGATCATTGTTGATGGGAATGGGATACTTAACACACGGAAGAACAGTTCCCATTAGAAGCCTGGCCCTAATGTAGTCCAACAAACACAACTGATAATTGTATATGACCACTCCCACTTCAGGTAGGACTGAGAAGCCCCATAGAACTGTTTAATGGTTTGTGTGACTGACAGTGTTTGTAGTGAAAGTGGTAGAAAATGAAGATATGCAAATTAAATGCACACTTGGCAGGCATGAAGTTGATGTTGTGGACAGCCTTGGATGGACAGTAGACACTTACCAAGCAGTTCAAAATCACTGCCAGCCAGAAGCCTGGTTGTGAGACACAAAAGTAAAATGAGCGAAACAGAGGACCTGTCTAGACTAGAGTTTTTGGTTGTGTTGTAACTTGAGTTAACTGATAATCAATGTAACTGTAAATGTTAGTCTAGATACTCCACAAACAATTGTTCCAGGATGCAAATATGTTTTCCTTGCTGTGGCTTAATTTGGGGCTCAGCTCACCTTTCTCATATCAGTTCCTTTGAAGTCAGTGAGACTAGGTATGTGAGTAAGGCAAACAGCCTTTGAAAACCCACAGGAATCCGTAAACTGCCGAGGGATTGTCAAGAGCATAATTTGTTACCTTCTCAGATCTCCCTCCCATTTAAGAGCCCAGCCTGACATTGGGTATGTCTACACACAAAGAAAAACCTCAGGGCTGTTTCATTGCTGTATAGATGTCTGGGCTCAGGCTAAAACCTGGCCTCTAGGATCCTGTGGGGTAGAGGGTTCCAGAGTGTGATGGGTTGGATCACAGAAACCCCCTTCGGGCTGCCAACTGATGTGCCAAGATTACTTCTGCCCCTCCTTTCCCTGCCAGCTTGGGACTCCAGCACCCTGTCTTGTTGAGCCCGACATGCCAGTCTGCTGCAAAACCAGACCCAGGGTCTGAACCACATGCGCCAAAGCTGAAGACTTAACTGAAAGCAACTTACTGAAGTGTTCCTGTCTTTAACACTCAGATGCCCAGCTCCCAATGGGGTCCAAACCCCAAATAAATCCATTTTACCCTGTATAAAGCTTATACAGGGTAAACTCATAAATTGTTTGCCCTCTATAACACTGATAGAGAGATATGCAGAGCTGTTTGCCCCCCCCCCTCCCCGGTATTAATACATACTGTGGGTTAATTAAGAAGTAAAAAGTGATTTTATTAAATACAAAAAGTAGGATTTAAGTGGTTCCAAGTAGTAACAGACAGAACAAAGTGAATTACCAAGCAAAATAAAATAGAACACGCAAGTCTATGTCTAAGAATACTGAATACGGATAAAAACCTCACCCAGTAAGCTTCCTTTTACAGACTAGTCTCCTTCTAGTCTGGGTCCAGCAATCACTCACACCCCCTGTAGTTACTGTCCTTTGTTCCAGTTTCTTTCAGATATCGTTGGGGGTTGAGAGGTTCTCTCTTTAGTCAGCTGAAGACAAAATGGAGGGGTCTCCCAGGGGTTTAAATAGACTTTTCCTTGTGGGTGGAGACCCCCTCCTCTCTCCTATGCAAAGTCCAGCTCCAAGATGGAGTTTTGGAGTCACATGGGCAAGTCGCATGTCCATGCATGACTCAGTTTTTACAGGCTTGTTCACATGTTACCTTGAATGTCCTCATGTAGACTTCTTATGTGAATTGGAGCCTTCCGATCCATTGTCCCTTAAGTGCTTCTTGATTGGGCACTTAATTTGCACATTCCTTTCTCAGGAAGCTGACCAGATGCTTTACAAAGGCTACTTAAAAATCAAGCAAGTACACAGCCAATATTCATAACTTTGAATACAAAGATGGTACATGCATACAAACGGGATGAGTAGATTCATAACCTTTACAGAGTTATGTTACATGGCATATGTAGCGTAAAACATTTTCCTGTTATGTTATATATACACTCATAAGCATATTTCCATAAAGCCTTATAGGGTGCACCGTCACACAGAGCTCAGGCTCCAGCCTGAGCTCAGAAGCCTACACAACAATGAAATAGCCCCGCAGACTGAGCCATGCGAGCCTGAGTCAGCTGACATGGACCAGCCGCGGTTTTTTCTTTGCTGTGTAGACAGACCCACTGAGCCCTGGATGAGTTTGCTGGGCTGCCAGTCACGAAAAACTAATTCTCTTTGCTTGTAAACTGAGCAGCTCAGATTTGGAAGCTGTTGAGAGAGAAACATGGATACCCAAGACAAGACCCACATTTCAAATGCAATGAGCTGTGTCTAACCTTATTTTCACAATGCCTTTGTAGGTGTCTTCTGTCATTTCTTGGTGTGTTTGTAATCACACGAAATCGAAAAGAGGAGCATTTGCAAGTTCCTTATATTGACTGTGGACACATTCCTGGTAAGCATGGTTTTGGAAGTTCTTTGTCAAATATTTGCCAGTCACCTATGTTTAAAAGTCTAAATGCACCAGGTAATGGAGTGGGGAATGAATGGGGAGAATTGAAGTAGAAATATCCTCCAATCATATTTAATAAACTTACTTTTTTCTTCATTTCTATTCATATTTCCAATTGATTTTTTTCAAAGACTTTCTTAAATTATTTCTTAACGGTTGCCACAGCCTATCAAAGGAAAACAAAAGGCATCTAGACTGAGGAGCCTTTAACAGAAAAATAATGGATTAGCAGAATTGTGATTTTTTTTCATTGAGTTTTTTTGTTTTTTCCCATTCTCACAGGAAAAAAAATTATTGACAAAATACAGCTGGATTCAAACAGCTTATCCTATGGCACTTTGCATGATGAAGATGACTGGACGAGGGCTCAGAGCTAAGAGCACCTTCAATTCCAGTTAACAAGAGGAACTCTCTGTTCATTGACATCATATTCAGCACCCCATGTTGATTGCATATATTCAGTGTGTGTGTCATGTTATTTTATCTTGAGAACTCTTAGTGTTATTTAGGTATCCTTACGTGTCCCCTGCCTATCACAAATGTGTTACAATGAGCCAGGAGAGCTATAAAGCTAGTAACCATTAAATGGAGCTGGATATTTTCCTGGTAAAATACCTCTTACTGGTGGTTTAGGGCCAGGTATTTAAAGGTATTTAGATGCCTAAAGATGCAGCTAGCCACACAGTGGGATTTTCCAAAGCACCCACTTCACCTGCCTGCATTTATAGGTGCTTAATTCCTTTAAAAATAAGTAATCAAAATATAGTGTGTTTCTATGAAAGCATCTGTTGGGAGAAATCCTGCTTGCCTTATACATACAGCTAGTCCCATTGCCTTCAAAGGAACTACACATGTGAGTAAAGTGAGTGGGATTTGTTCCAATATATAAATATGGATACATTCACATGGTATGAATTTATGTTGAGATATGGTAAAAGGCTTGGCATTATCAATTCCTCCAAAGGAGCCCTCTGGGAGGGGAGCTTGTCTCTGTCCTACTGGACTGGAGCAACAAGCAGCTATTTCAATACAATCCGTTCTGAGCCTTGCCCCCTCTGTCTTCATTAGAAAATATACGTTTTTGGTGGGGATTTTGAAGAGGGTGCACACTCTTCCAATAGAGAAATGGGAAGCCAACCTTCCACTGCTGTTGTATTTTGAATAGGCTCGGCTGGGGAAAAAGTGAGTTCAATATAGGGGGCCCAGTCGATGAAGTCAATGGAAATGTCGTGTGGGTAAAAGAATCAGGATCACGAAGGATAAGCCACTGGGCTAAAATATATCTTTTTCCTTCATAAAAAGACTTCCCTGCAGTAAGCTAGAGAGCGAGTGCTGGCAGCAGCTGTGGTCACGCAGACTGAGCTTGGGGCTTCGAGTCAGAAAGCCGTAATCCTACTTTAGGTGCTGACTCACAGGAGAAAGTTACTTATGGCCGTAGGGAGATACACAGCCTCAGTTTCTGCTTCTGTCTGCTAATACTAATCTACCTCATGGGTATGTTGTGAGGATTAGATGGGTGCTCTGAGGGAAAAGAAGAAGCACTTTATAAGTGTTCGGAGTTACTATTTGAACCTTGTACAAAATACTTTTGCTCTTTTGCAGCCAGCTCAATGGGGTCTGCTGAATGATGCCTCTTCTAAACACAATATTTTTGTAGTCAGTATTTTTATTTTAGAAGAGATCCAGTCAAAGTGACTTTAGTAGTTTAAACACTCATTTGTTTATTAGACATGTTGAAGTACCTAGAAAATGGTACATTTTGCTGTACATTAATCTCCCTACATCCAAGATTCAGGGAATTTTTTAATTTGTGATTTAAGCTTTTGCAAATTGGCATAGAGTCACGTAGCCAGGGATTCAATACCACCCTCCCCCACTTTTCTATTAAAGTTCGAGGAAGCTGCCCATCTATATCTCTCAGATGCCCAATGGGTCTTCCAGCAAAAACAGGAAAGACTAGACTTTATATTACTGATCAATCTCCGGTAAAAATGCAGATTTTTTTAACACACCCTAAAGAATCAAAAGGGCACTAACTGAATTTTTCTTTCCTTTGTAGCTCAACTTTAAGCACCCTTTTTACCTGTCAAGTGAAAATGTCTGCTAAAGATGGAAATAAGATGTCTATAACTTTCATTGCTATTATTTCCTAGAAATACTATTTTTTTTTAAGTAATGGCAGCAGATACCTCTCTGAAATTTGTTTCCATGATTTGGGAGGGGTGAAGGAGGAAATTCTCCCAGGATTTTCTAGTCACAGTAGGAAATTGAATGCAAAATCTCTGGGTAAATCCATTATTTATTTTAAAAGTACTGTAATTCTGTGTGACACATCACCTCCTTCTGACGGTTTAATAAAAAATAAAATGATGTTCTATAGATGGGGAGGGATAACTTCCGGTGTAAAATTAAGTGTAATTGAAATTGATATATTGATTAAAAGTTCTAGGAGCCACTGATATGTAATTACACAATTAACAATGGTCATCAGACTTGATATAGATACTTAGGCACACTTCAATTAATCTACATAAGTTCATGTTACACTATTGTAATATATAGTAATGGGCATTCATTAGTACTGCCCCCAAAAATAAACTTGTCAGTTTCGCTGTGTTTAGAATCGGCTTCTAGTCAATTTCAGATTGCCCTAGTGATGTTTAGGTTGCAAACACTATAGACGAATGTTTGTTAAAACATAAACCTTTTCATTGGACTCTAAAGAAAAACACAGAAATGTATTTTATTGTATTAAATTTTGTAAGAACCTTTTCTTCCCTGAAGATCAATATCTTGGGCCCAATGTGACCTTTGAAACCTGTTCTACAAGTTGAATCTGCCTAGAGCCTGAATAGGTACAATATAAAATCTACAGAAATAAATAGAAGGCCAAAGTCAGCCCCTCTGAATGGTTTCTGCAGTGTCTAGTTTGTAAGTCTGACAAACCAGGGCCAGCAGGATTGATTCAACCCTTGCTACACGGCTGATAGACACTGTGCAGGGGAAGTCAGAACTTTAACTTGAGTATGGGACTGGAAACAGGAACTTTTGAATTCTAATCATGGCTCTGCCATTGATTCTGCATGGGACTTTTGCAAACAACTTAACCTTTTTCTCTCTCAAAAGTGCAAGATCCACTTTTGTGGATGGTCACATGGACACGACTCGAAAGCTCAGCCACCTAGATTTGTTTATAATTGTATTCAAAAATTTCAGTGTGTCATCAATAGACTTTTAGGACCAGATTGCCCAGTCTAGTTCCATTTAGTGTCATGTAAGTGGTGCAAAGTGGCCTTAAAATGGCTGGTAATGCCCAACTGAGAATTTCCCCTATTCAGGAGAACACTCAAGTGGTAAAAAGAAAAGGAGTACTTGTGGCACCTTAGAGACTAACCAATTTATTTGAGCATGAGCTTTCGTGAGCTACAGCTCACGGTAAACATCTGATGAAGTGAGCTGTAGCTCACGAAAGCTCATGCTCAAATAAATTGGTTAGTCTCTAAGGTGCCACAAGTACTCCTTTTCTTTTTGCGAATACAGACTAACACGGCTGTTCCTCTGAAACCACTCAAGTGGTAGAGGCTGGTCTGTCACCTGTACCAGCCACCCACTCAACCCTTGGAGTAGGTGGGGAGCTGTGGTGGGAACAGTGTTCCACTACCTCTGACCATCCCCTGGTATAAGATCCCAGAGGCACTTCACACCCAGTGCAGAGCTTTTCCCCTGCTGCTTTGGGTCAAGGAACCAGTTAGAGAGCTCCCTTCTCACTCCCCCTCTTGCTGAGTTGGAGCAGAGCAGTTGAAAATCTGCCGCTTAGTCTATGTCTGTAAATCTGTAATAGTAAATCTGAAAGCAGCATTTTTCACTAGGCAATAGCATCATCTCTGGGTAGTCCCATTAGTATTTTCATCTGCAGAGTCGATGGAAATGTGTAAGGCATGCTGAGACTGACACTGGAATTCTGTGTACAGTACTGGTGTCCATATTTTTAAAAGGATGTGACTACAGGGAGCCTGCAGAAAAGAGCCATAAATGAGTCTAGGTCTGGAAAACATGCCACAACAGCTACCACTAAGGGAAAAACATCTCCAGCTCCAATGGGCTGCATGTGCACATGCCTTAAGTGGAATGGCCGTGTGCAATCATGCAAAGAAGAACTGGATGAAATTCTAGGGTGTATGTTCATCAGGAGGTCAAATGGGATAATCTGATAGTCCCTTCTGAAACTATGAATCGATTACTCATGTTACTACATTGACTATTAAAATATGTTCACATGCATAGTCGTCAGTCTGTAGATTGTCAGGATTCTTTTGCTAATAATAACAATTAAACGTTGTTCAAAGAAAACAAGATTACATGGGGAATGGTGATGTTTAGTATTTCCATTAAATTCATTCTCGTTATGTCCTTCCTTACAGTTTCTTTGTAAAAATACAGAGCATCTATTCTTGGAACACTAGAGGTTGAAATATCAAGGTGGTTGATGTATTTTATTGCCTTGTGATGCATTACCAGCAGTAACCTCCACTCGCAGGTAGAATTGCCTACTAACAGCCTCTGGGTCTTTGCTTCTTCTGGCTCGCTATGTTAGAGAGGATAAGGGATACTACTGAGCCTGTTAAGCACACTATTAAACCTCAAGGAAATTAATTAAAAGAAGGTGAGGGGGAGAGAGGGGAAGACAAGTTCTGTTCCGGTGTTAACACTGGTTTGGATTTATGGATATCAACTATCGCACAAAGGACAAATGCCAATGCTGTTCCTCTGACAAGCTTAATAATTCTGGCAAGCACAGTGGTGGCAGACTCCAGCAAATTGCAATAGGGGAGGCAAATGCCTATTCCAGGCTTGGAAATCTCCAGCTGAGTGTTGGCAAGTGTGTGCATGTGCTGGAGGCTTAAATCAGTCAGTTCCATTTTTCCTGATGTGACCTAGCAAAATGTAACAATTGGTTTAATCATTCATATCCACGGGAAGCTACGTGTGTTTAAGGCATTAACTCTATGTCCTGCAGTAATACATTAATTTAATGTAAAACAGTGTTAAAGCCACCTGTTTAATCACGTACTCATTAGTTCTAATTTGAAAACTGTTATCTATTTTCTTTTAAATATAGGCTCTGCAACTCAACTCTCTGTGCCTATAAGCCAGACAAGGATGCTATCCATGAGCATGGTACCTGAATCTTAAATCTGACTCTATTGTAGAATTCCAGCCCCACAGGAATAATAATAAAGGAAGCCTAAGGATAACGCTAGTCAATCAGCAATTGAAGTGCTCATTCAGATGCCAGGATGTCAAGTGCCCTTCTACTTTCAAGGCTAGGAGTAGAGCAGGTCTACTGGTTGCAAATTACCTATGCATTGGATTTAGCTTTTGCCCTGATTGCATATTGTTGGCTGCAAACGGATTATTGCTCTCATGTATTTGTTTACTATGCAAAGCTGCTCAACCCATATGTTTCACGGACATAGCTGGGGGACTGTAGGTTGTCACTAACTGGTCACAGCAAACGTTTCAGTATTTGTAATGAAGTATTCTGTATGATTGGTCACATACTATGGTTTCTCTTTCCTGTTTGAATGACAGAGACATGACACCAGCCCTGATAGCTTGGCTCCCATATCTGCACAAAGAGAAAGTTCTACAATCATTCATGGAAAGAAAAGTCATATGAAGGCTTAAAGAAAGAGTTCAGATGTAAACAGACTGAATGGCATGTTGGCTTTGGCAAACATGTTTACAAATAGAATTTTTTTTTATTTGCCCAGCTCTACCATCAGGGTAGATTGAACTGGCTTCTATCACTGTTAAATTCAGCACGCCAGCTGTTAACTTCTGGAATACATCTACATGTGTTCTTTTAATGTCACCAAGTCTTTGAGGTCTTGTCTGGACTAGGATTTGGAAGACTAGTGTAGACAAGGGAATGTGCCTTTAACATGCGTTAAACTGGAACCAATTTAGCATACGTTAAAAATCACACTGCTGTGTCCACGGTAGCCTGTTAACACATGTTCGTCAGCACCATCCAAATCGTAGTCTAGTTTAAACCTTAGTGCTAGTGGGTAGAGATGGAAGAAGCATCATCAGCCTCCTTCAGATGACTCGAAATAGCTACATCTGAACTTGACCTTAGGCACACACAAATATTCAATACAGATAAAACAAACAGCTAAATAGTAGCAAACTGCCTAATCAAGTTGCAGACTAAAAATTAGTTTCTTAAACTATGCTTTCTTATTAAGTGCTACATGAAGTACCTTGGACTAGAAGATTAAAAACATCTCAGGCTGAATAGAGTGTCTAGGTGGTTTTGGAATGCACTTTGTGATGTTACACAACACAGCACGCATGACTATTTTGCTGTTGCTATTGTACTATGACTAGTTTAAATTCATATTTTAAACTTACTGAATATTAGCATAATTTCAAGTAATAATTTAATTTGTGGTAGAAACCTTCATTTTAATAAATCATTCTTATCTGCTCCGGATAGCTGCAACGGAAAGCCCACGCTGGAGAACTCGGAGTGTGGCTAAGGTGACTCATTCGTAACGGCTTTTTTTCCATGTTAAACTGGCTGTTTTCCAATGAAGTCCTGCAAGACCTCATATAACAAGCAAGGGTTACTGCTCTTTTCCACGCATCACATGAAAAATATCCTCCTGCAGCCCAGTGTGTATGGCTGTACAGCTGCTGCAGTTTGGACTCTGGCACAGCACTATTCACTTACCATTCCACATGCCACTTAGTAAAGCAAACCACCTGTTTCCTGGATAGGCTTGAGCCCCCAAGCATTTTAAACATTTCTCCAAGGATGAAATCCATCCAAACCACTGATGGGGAAATGACAACCTTGGCATTCTTTTCAGCTCCATTTGTTGTTGTGCTATTTGTTGTTCTCTGAAGAGTTCTGTGGTCTTTAGTCTAGTTTTCCACTGAAACCACAAAAGGGCAAACCATGCCAAAGTGAAAGAGATTCCTAGTTTCCTATTTACTAAGTGCCCTCATTCCTCACGTGTGATTGACAAAGTCCCCACTGTGGCTCCAAAGAGAGCACCTTTGAAAGAGCAGAAGGGAGGGTAACAAAGAAAAAGGAGACGGGCAGAGAAACCCTGGCCATCCTTGTGAGCTTGCTTTGGCATTTCTGATGGGGTGCTATTCCAAAGCCTCTGTGGGTGGCATGTGTTCGGGGGGCTAATGCTGCAGCCTTTGAGCCTGGTAGTTTCACTGAGCTGCAAGGGACTTTTCCTGGGGGTAGGAGCTTCCTACACAAGTAAAGGGTGGCCAGAGAAGACCTAAACTGTAAGCTAGGCCAGCCAAATACTTTCTTCCTTCATGTATTTCACAAGCCCAGATGCTCATAGCAATAACAATAACATCACACACAAATAACTGTGGGAAAAGAACAGTCAGGTTGCAAAACTGTCACGCACTCAAAAGTTAGGAAATGCCCAAACTAAGGCTGAATGGCCCATAAGAACGGCCATACTGGATCAGACCAAAGGTCCATCTAGCCCAGTATCCTGTCTTCCAACAGTGACCAATGCCAGGTGCCCCAGAGGGAAAGAACAGAACAGGTAATCATCAAGTGATCCATCCCACTGCCCATTCCCAGCTTCTGGCAAACAGAGGAGAGGGACACCATCCCTGCCAACCTTACTGCTGACATTTCCTAGTGGCTGATAGATTGACTTTGCAACCTTAACAGGTCTTTAGTTTTTTGTGTATAATTTTCTAGGCTTTTTAAAAAGCAACTTGGAAAAAACATATTCCGGCGTGTGGACTCATACTGACCCCTTTATGGGTCAGCAGGATGGTTAGACCCTTTGTAGTCACAGCACAGATCTCCACTACTTGAGCTAAGAGAGGAACTGGTAGGTAGGTTTTCTTCTCCTATGTGCACCAGCCCACTTGAGGGCAATGAGACACAGTAGGTGACTGAGTTTCACAGCTATTTGCTGAGAGCAAAGGAATGCTGAGACTCCGGAATGGTGGAGTCAGTGTCAGGGTCTGGAGGGGCTTGAGATCTCATGGGTAGGACTCAACAAATGGCTACACAGGTGGTGTTGGAGAGAAGGCTTTGGATTCTTTGACCATGGGATGGTGGTCCAAGAAGGAGGAGTGCTAGGTAGAGATGGGCTCCACCTAACGAAGAGAGGGAAGAGCATCTTCGCAAGCAGGTTGGCTAACTTAGTGAGGAGGGCTTTAAACTAGGTTCACCAGGGAAAGGAGACCAAAGCCCTGAGGTAAGTGGGGAAGTGGGATACCGGGAGGAAGCGCGAGCAGGAACGCGCGAGACGGCAGGGGTCCTGCCTCATACTGAGAAAGAGGGACGATCAGCAAGTTATCTCAA